GAGACAAATTAGACCCAATGACTGGGAGCTCCTGGAAGGGAGAAAGCATGGTCTCACTTACCTTCATATTCTTGGTTCTGACATGGGAAATCACTCAATGAATGTTTGTTTAATTGAATCATTGAATGAAGAACCATCGCTACCTACCTTCAACAATCAGCCCACTGCTGTCAGTCAATTCTGGCTCATCACTACCCTATAGAACAGAGTAGAACTACCCCATAGGGTTTCCTAGGTTATAAATCTTTTACTGGAGCAGACTGCTTTGTCTTTCTCCCACCGGGTTGCTGGTGGGTTCCAACTGCTGACTTTGGGGGAGCAGCCCAGTGCTTCTAACCTCTGTGTCACCAGGCCTCCTTGCCTATACCCTGAGCTCCCCAAAGTCTCTTTTGGGATTTTCACAAAGTTGCTGCCTGTTCCACCTCTTCTGTAATTAAATTGGCTTTTCCTCAAGCACCAGCATTCAAGAGAAATAAAACACTTTCAATCAATGTTATTGGTTTTCTGTTTTGCAACAGTATTTCTTCCTGCCATTCTTCACTGCAATTGTAGGGGATAATTAGTTTTGTGTGGGAGTGAGGAGGAAGTGGTGGAGGGTTGAGCAGTGGAGGAGAGGATGGGAAGGTATTAAGCTGAGAATCCTAATTATTTCTAACAGTCTCCTGGTGTAAAATGAATCCAGGTTGGAAGGTAACCTTTGTGAGATGGGGGCAGTCTGTGCTGACCAACCAGAGCCCACAGAATCACCTCTGTGAGCTCCTCCCTGTGCCCAAGCACCTGGAGAAATGCTGCCTTCTTTCTAGGTCGTTTTCCTTCTTCACTCCCTTGTCCCCCTCCCTGCCCCTTCCACTATCTCCCTGCGTGAACACTGCCCTTCTGTTCTCCCATCTAAGGAGTGTATCTCCTTGAGGTAAATGTTCTTCCCATGTGCCTGTCTATTGTTCGGTGGGAAGCCACAGGAGTGAGTTCAATTCCAGACCTGAAGGGTAACTAGGGGCCATAGTCTCAGGGGTCTCACCAGGTTTCACAGGATGTTTTACTACAAAGGCAGACAGGCCCAACTTTTCCATGATAAAATTGCCAGAAGTTATAAAATGCTGCCATGTGCCAGCACTGTGCTAAGTACTTTACCTGCATCCTTTTACTTAATCCTTCACTGAAAGTCAGAGAGAGCCTTTTAAAACATAAACCAGATCCCAGCCCTTCCCTGCCCCAAACCCTCCAAGAGCTTGATTTCACTTGGTATTAAGTCCTTAGCCAGTTCTATAAGGCCTGCATGGCATGGCCCTAGGTGCCTGCCCTGACTGCATCCCCTCCACCCACTTCCCTGTTTCACTGTGCTCCTTGCTGCTCTTAGAACCAGCCAAGAATGCCCTGCTGCATGGCCTTTGCACTGGCTCTTCCTGCAGGGCTCAGCACAGCTCACTCCTTTACTTCCTCAAGTTTCTGCTCAAATGTCATCTCCTCAGAGAGACCTTCGCCTCATTTAAGATACAACCTATTGTCATGATCTACTACCTTTCCTGCCTTCCTTTTTTAGTAGCACTTAGTATACCTGGTGTTCTGGTTACCTAGTGCCACTCTGACAAGATACATACCACAAATGGGATGGCCTTAACAAACAGGAGTTTATTTTTACAATTTGGAGGCTTTATGTCCAAGTTCTCAGTGCCAGGCTCTAGGGGCTGGGTGAAAGCCTCTCAGCCTTGCGGTCCAGCTCCGCCTCCTGCTCCCAGCCCACTAGAGCTAGACGCATTTCTTCATTCAGACAGCTGCTGGCTGCTGAAGCTGAGAAGCCTCAAGGTTGACAAATCAAAAGGCACAGTCCCGATGTTACCAAACCACACGGCAGGCCATTAACTTAAGTCCATTGTAAGTCCCAAGGTCTGCAGAGCATGGCAGGCTGCTGAGCAATGACACGGCTACATGCAGGGTCCAAGCATGCTACAGGCTAGAGACCATTCTCAAAGCTTCTCCTTATATACAGGAAGCCGACCACATCCCAAAGGCAGCTACTCAGCTGCTCACAGTAGATTCCACTATGGAGTTGATTACCAGTCTCATCATGGGGAATACTACATCCAGCTGCCCAGCCACTCAACCAGGCCCAGCCAAGTTGACATACAAACATAACCATCACACCTGGCCATTATTATACCCCAAACAAAAACAAAAACAAAAACAGTAATTCAGTGAATAAATAAATGGATTGGCACTCATAAAATACCATGATGTGTGTACTATTTTTGGCCCCATTTTATAGATGAGGAAACTGAAATATGGAGATGAAAGCACAATACTGTACTTTCAAAGGTATGAAGCTAATGAGCAATCTGGGATGAGAAGTCAAAATGCCTGTCTCTGGAGGCCTCAAACCAAAACCAGTTGTATTTGGAGTGCCTTCTGACCTGAGGGGCTCATCTTCTGGCACTGTATCGGACAATGTTTCAGGGCTATTTGTAAAGTTGTCCAGTAATATATCAGGCAGTGTGTCCTCGATATTCATAAGCTTTTCACTGGCCAATTCTTTGAGAAATGATGGCTTCTTCCTTCTTTTGACACTGTCTTAGTCTGGAAGCTCCGCTGAAACCTGTCCACCATGAGTAACCTCACTGGCATTGGAAACACAGGTGGCATAGCCTCCAGCCTCACAGCAATACTCAAACCACCACAGTACGACAAGCTGACAGACAAACTCTCTTAGCTGTTCCAAACTGCTCTGCTCATTTCTTGCTTTCCCCTGCCCTGCTTGCTTACCTGGCCTGCCCCCAGGGTGCAAATATCCACTTTCCACTGGTCCCGGGGCTGGCTTAGCCAATTATGCACTGCAACATTGTATGGACTACATACAGTGAATGATAAAGTGTACAACAACAACAACAATTGGTCATAAGTGTGGTTCGTCATAATCCGAATTTGTGGTAAATCAGGGACTACCTGTATTAGCTTGAGAAAGGCCTAAAATGTTCTGCAGTAAAGATGGAGGTTTAACTTGTATAACTCAATGTTTACTAATTTTTTACCTTAGAAATCTTTTATCTTTTTATTTGTGTATATAATACCTATTAACACATTGCAAACTATTTCTTAGGAAATCTTGGCCTTCATTATTATGGAGAGAAGGTGGATTGTCTGATAAGGGATCCTGGGCACTGTCTGTGGGTTATCTGGGTGAGAGTTAAGCCAACTGCATTTAGAAGGTATGCATTGTCCTCATAAAGTCACTCTCATGATGACACCAAACCAAGTTCAAGGGGTCCTCCAAACCACCTTCAGGTTTGATTATTCACCAGAAAGATTCATAGAACTCACCTAAAGCTTTAAGGTTATGGTTCATTGCAGGGAAAGGACACTGATTAAAATCAGCCAAGGGAAGAGACACATGGGACAGAGTCTGGGAGGTATCCCAATGTGAAGCTTCCTGTTCTCCTGTCCCATGGAGTCACAAAAGCATCACCTCTTCCTGGCCACCATGTGTGACAATATGCACAGAGTACTGCCAACCAGGGATGCTCACCTGAGCCTTTGGTGTGCAGAGTTTTTATTGGAGCTCCATGACATTCTGCCCACATGACTGACCGTTCATCTCCAGCTCCTCAGGAGACTGGGCTGTTATCTTTACTCTCTAGTCTCTTCTGGAGATGTAACCAGTACCACATGACCCAAAGTCCTCAGCATAAATCACCTCACTAACTGCCTCAAAGGCACCTCTATCAGGCAGGACCTTCTGAGGGCCTGGAGACACCTGAGGGCAAAAGGCCCCAGCCCTCTCTGTATAAGCTAATTCTTCACCAAGGAACGCTGGTGGCATAATGGTTAAATGCTTGGCTACTAATGGGAATGTTGACAGTTTGAACTCACCCAGTGGCTCTGTGGTAAACAAAACAAAACAAAACAAAACAAAAACCCTGATGATCTGTTCCTGTAAAGATTACAGCCTAAAAATCCTATGGGGGCAGTTCTACTCTGTCATATGGGGTCACATGGGTTGTTATAAGTCAGGATTTACTCTATGGCCCCTAACCAAGAAAACTCCACACAATCCTTCACTATGCAGTCTTGCACTGAAAGGGCTGGGACCAGGAGTTTCGCCTCCCAGCAGGAGGCTCTGTGCCCAGATTCAACTTCCCACAAGACTGGCTTCTGAGCCCACAGCTTGTCCCTTCACAGGTGAGGCCACTCTCATGCTCACCTGTCAAGAAGGAAAGCAGCGGTGGCTCCTGGTACCTTTAGCTACACGCCAGACTAAGCTTGCTTCTCTGCTCGCTGGTCTTCTGCCCTTTGGTTCCCGTACCAAGTGACACTTGTCGGTGTTTGTCCTGAGTCTGTTACAGCACAGTTCCTTATCTGTATCACCCAGGAACATACACTCATCAAGTCTGCCTTGGTTTCTCACTGTCTCATATCTCCCACCGGAATTTTAGCTTCCTGGCCACAGGGACTGCCTTCCCTACTGTGTCCCCTCAGCCCCTAACCTCACCTGGAGCTTGCATTGAGTGCCCAGATAACCCCTGTTGGCTCAGGGGAGCCAGAACCAATTATCCTGTATGTATCATGGTTTGATGCAAGGAAGGATAAATGACCATGTGCTAAACCACTCAATTCATTACCAAAGCCCTCCCTCTGCCCCAAGCAGGAGAGAAGGATGCCCCCCCAAGGCAGAGAGGGGTGTGGAGTGAAAAGTGCTTCATTAGGCTGAATCTCTATGTGGGAGACTTAGAGCAACTGTCAAAGCCCTCCATGTGTTCATTTTTATTGATTTTGATGGTGATTTGATGCTATTAGAAATTCAAGTCTCATCTTGGTCTCAGAGCTCATGTGAATAACATTGGTGATGGGGAAGGAAAGAGCAGCTCTGACTGATCGTATAAATCTGGGAGGAGGGAGGGCGCAGAAGCGCCTGGCCTTCCAGCTCCACAGGCACAAGGTTGAGCTAGCGAGAGGCAGTGAGGGACATCGGAGTGGACAGTGTTTGCTTTCACCCAAGTGACCAAGTGACCATGAGGACGGTTGTGCATGTCTCAATCATGCTCCTCCTTATAACTTTTTCTGACTGTGCCGTGATTACGGGGGTAAGTCGTCTAACATTCTCTAAGCCTGGGTTTTGGGAAGATGTCAGGAATCGCATGAGATGTGAACACAGGGTGGAGGTGGGCAGCTGTGTTGGCTGGACACACTACAGGCCCACAAAGGGACCAGGGAAGTTAGCCATCTGACAGCAATTTAGAGAGAATGATTTCACATGATCTCCAGATTAGCTGGACCTCAGTCTACAAAAAGCATCTGCTTTGGAGAAACTATGTGCAGATCAAATCCTGTTTTAAATGCATTAGGGGAGTATTGAAAATTCAGTAAAATGAAGATTCCTATTGTGTAATCAGGGATTTGTTTATAAAGTAAATTAATACCTCCTAATTTCTCTTTTAAGGAGCTCTGGTGGTGTAGTGATTAAACTATTTGGCTGCAAACCAGTATGTCAGTGGTTCGAACCCACCAGCCACACCATAGAAGAAAATGAAGCAGTCTACTTCCGTTAAGATATACAGCCTTGGAAAACTACTGGGGGTTGCTAGGAGTTGAAATTGACTCGATGGCAGTGAGGTTTTTCTTTTTTTTTTTAAAGTAGCTCTGGTAGTGCAGTGGTTAAGTACTTGGCTGCTAACCAAGAGATCAGTGGTTTGAAACCACCAGCCGGCTTTGCGAGAGAAAATGTGGCAGTCTGCTTCTGTAAAGATTCATAGCCTTGGAAATCCTATGGGTCAGACCTAGTCTGTCCTGTAGGGTGGCTATGAGTTGGAATTTATTCAACAGCAATGAGTTTGGGTTTTTTGGTTTTATTTCTCTTTTGTGTGAATTTTGGTTTTCATATACGGTCTAGCCTGCATGTCCAGTTTAATTTACATAACACATTGAGTTAATTAAGGAAGGGTAATTTTATTAGCATCTAGTGCGTCAGTTTAACCTCTGCTTTCTCTGCCCTTGAGGAAGGAAGCATTGGAAGTCTTTTCTTTGTTGTGTCTGTGTTTTCATTCTGTTCCCAGTTCTGATAGAAACATGAGAGACCTCAAAATTTGTCTGAATGTACCTCAAAACAAGCATCTAGATAACAAGCAGAAATTCAGTCTCCAATCAGACCTATGTACTCATGAGCACAATACAGGACAAGGTTCCAAACCCTCAGAGTCTGGTTTTCTTCCAGTTGTTTGCTTTATCTGGAACCGCCCTCAGTTGGGGCGTGAATTGTGTTGCCATGGTAGGGTGGTTCTTCTTAAAAAACAAAGTAATATTCTACCTGAGAGCTTCCCAGACAAAATGTGCTAGAAAAAAAGAGGGAAGTAAACTTTTATTGAAACCTCCTCCAACTTTTTGCAGAGAGAATGGAAATAGAGACAAGTGCCAAGTAATTCCTTGAATCACATTCATTTTAATGTTTGCAGAAAGAACACTTTCTTCTTCTTTAAAGGAAAAAGACTGTGCTCGAAAGAAGAGACACTGAAATCAATGCTTTTGATACCCAAGGCATGAATAACATTGTTAGGATGGATTAGCCCCCATGAATATAAACCACGGAGGCCTGTGTAGCTTCAGGATCTGGCAGAGTGAGGACAAAGGAGCAAAGCCATGGTTACCCGGCAGTGAGACACCAGGCATGGTGCCCAGGTGAACCTCACCATGTGAGCGCAACATTCGCCCAGAGTGGCAGTGGGACAGACAGGTGTGATAGAGGTGGGAAAACATCTTCACAGTGTATCCTTCAAGTTGACTCATTGAAAGGAGCAACAAGAGAGAAGCTGGGGGAAGCGGAAGTGATTGAATGACAGGACAAGTGGTTCTAACAGGAGGAGGGGAGGCCAGGAATCCCACTTCTCTCCAGCTCCTGTGTCTATTTGCCTGGCCAGACTGATGCCCCATGTCTACTTCTTAGGCAGAGCCCAGATTCTACCATCTCCCCATCCTCCTGCTCCCTGGATGATAGCGGGCTCCTAAGTTAGCCTCCTACCCCCACCAGAGAAGAGGAGTCAAGTGGGGTGTGCTGTGTTCTAACCTTGAGCTCTCAGGGGACTGGTTGGTATGGGAGACATACCATCACTTGGGCTGGAGGCCAGCAACGCTGGGTGGCTGCCACCTGTACCTCATCTGGTGGATAAGCTGCCCTACCTTCCTGTCTTCCTCTCCTTGGGCTGAGCCAGTTGGGAGCTTCAGCTCCTGCTGCACCGCATGCAGTCATCCAGAGGGTACTCCTCGCCTTGTACTGGAGAAGAGCTCACAAAACTCAGCTCCAAATTTCAGCTCAGGAGAGCCACAAGGCTCCTCTGGAAGTGGACCATTTGGATGCGTCATTGCATCCCATCTGAGTATGCAGCAGTTCAGGGTTCTATTTGTCTGACCCAGCTTTTTGTTTAATGAGGGCTTGTGTGGCCCTCATTACAAATGGCACGTTCCATAAACTGGGCAGGGTCATGCAACCCCTGTTCTGTGAGTTCAACCCAGAAAGGTTCCTCTCTACCTGGGGATCAGGGAGGCCAGCAGAGAAGCATGGGGGAAGACACTGGTTATTGGGACTGAGTGCCAACATGGGGAGGGGGCACCAAACAGGCGTAATGGATCAGGGTTAGAGGGTCCCAGTACAAGGCACCTCAGCACTGACCACCCAGGGATTCAGGTCCTCTTTTCCCCTCTAAGGGTTCCAATTAATTCAATTCAACTAACATCCATTCAGCATCTACTGTGTGCCAGACCCTGGCCAAGTTCTGGGGTTCTGGGGGGGGGGAACCCTAAACTCACTGTCACTGAGTTGATTCTGATTCATAGCGACTCCCATTGGGTTTCCAAGGCTGTAAATCTTTATGGAAATAGATTGCCCCATCTTCTTTCTGTGAAGCAGCTGGTGGGTTTGAACCACTGATCTTCTGGTTAGCACCCAAGTGTCCTATCCAGTAAGCCACCAGAGCTCCTTAAGTGCTGGGATCACAGACCCCAAAAAGCTATGACTCCTAACTTTTAGTCTTGTCAGAAAAGGAGAGCAGCCTTCCCATAGAATAGCCTCAGGGGAGCTTGGAGGGCTCCTCAGACCTAAGTGTGATGTCTCACTGAGCCCCTAGCATCCTTCCTGGGGGAGCGGGGGCAGCATGCACTGAGCAATGCATAGCCTACCTCATCCCTCTTGTCTGCCCCTGACAAGAATTCATTGGATATCCTCTCCTTCTGGTTTCTCTTGGTAGCACTAATGGGCTGGCCCTTCTCTCTCTCTCCTACAGGCCTGTGAGCGGGATGTCCAATGCGGGGCAGGGACCTGCTGTGCCATTAGCCTGTGGCTTCGTGGGCTGCGAATGTGCACCCCGCTGGGACGGGAAGGAGAGCAGTGCCACCCCGGCAGCCACAAGGTACTGCATGGGTGGGTGTGCACAGGGTGGGCCCGAGACTGGAGCCAAGCAGACGATGCAGGCCTGGGTGTGTGGGAACGCTCAGCTCTTGCTCCAGCTGGGTCCAGGGAGGCTGTAGCTCTGAAGCAGGGTATGGGGAGGGCCCCTGACTGACCGAGGGAAAGGGGGCAGCCACGGAGGTGCTGCTACCAAACTCACTCCCTCAAGCACCCAGCTTACTTGGTGACCTGCAGATAATACAGAAATCAAAACCAAACTCACTGCCATTGAGTCAATTCTGACCCTTAGCAACCCCTGTTGGGTTTCTGAGGTGGTAAATCTTTATGGAAGTAGATTGTTCCATCTTCCTTTCATGAAATGGCTGGTGGGTTTGAACTTCCAACCTTCTGGTTAGCAGTCAAATGCCTTAGGCACTGTGCCGATATCACTAACATTTGTACAGAGTCCCTGGGTGGTGCAAACAGTTAACATGCTCACCTGTTAACTGAAATGTCCATTAACTGAAAGGTTGGTGGTTCAAGTCCACCCAGAGGTACCTTGGAAGAAAGGCCTGATGATCTACTTCTGAAAAATCAGCCATTGGAAACTCTGTGCAGTTCTACTCTGACATAATGGGGAAATGACCTCATGGTAACTGGCTTGGTTTGGTTTTATATTGTACAGGACCTGGCAGTTTCCATGTATAAGCTTCTAGTTCAGGCTAGAGGGGCCCTGATTTAATCTGATCCTCACAACAACCCTGTGCAGCAGATATCAGTCCCCATCTTACAGGTGAGGAAACTGTGGTACTGCCAGGTTATACAACTTGCTCAAGGCACACAGCAAAAGAGACGAAGCTGGGACAGTTTTCTGGCTCCCACTCTACTAATACCTCATTTGATGCTGGAGCATCAAAAAAGTCTCCTGGCTTTTTGGGGAGCATCCTGGGAGGTGGGAGTAGGCTGTTAGGTCTGGGAGCTGAGTCAACTCAGCCCCTCATTTGCTGTGTGACCTTGGGCAATTAGCATAACTGTGCTGAGCTTCAGTTTCCTCGTGTATATAATGAAGGGAGTAGACTGACTACCCCAAGATTTCTTTCAGACCTGACAAACTCAGATTTTGAAACACCCTTTGCTCTGTAGGAGTTCCCTATCAGGAACAGGAAATAAGGCCCACAAAAGGCCTCTCATCTAGGGCCAGGATAAAGGGACCCACTCTTTTGCATCCTAGGGACCTTGCTTGTCTCACTCTACCCTGACTCTGCCCCTATCCCTTGATAGCCATCTCCCATCCCTGAGGAAAAAGTGTGGCCTTGGCTTATGAACGGTCAGGTGTGGGCCTGGGCAGGGGCTAGGGAGGGACCCAAGCCTGCTATCCACCTTCTCTAGGCTCTATGGTTCAGGAATCCTTGGTCCTCAGGCACTTACCTGGACCCAGAAGCCCTGGTTTCATATGAACTCAAAGCCTCCTCTGGCCATTGCTCTCCCAATCACAGCCTACCAGGGGGATGAGGAGGTACAGGGAAGACGATGCTGGACAGCACAGCTGTCTTGTCACCTTGGGGTATAGGAGGTGGTTTGGCCAAGGATCCACATGCCCAGTCAACAGTTATAATAAAAGTTAATGCTGAATTCTTAATCTCTTACCAAATGCTTTTTTAATGAATTATATAATTTAAACCTCTTTACCACCACATGTGGTAGGTGCTATTTTTAACCCATTTTACAGATAATAACATTGAGGCATTAAAGAGGCTAAATAATTTGCCAGTTGCCATACAGCTGGAAACTGACAGACCTAGGGATTTGATCCCAGGTAGTATGAGTCTAAGGAGCTCTGGTGGTGCACTGGTTAAAGCTTTCAGCTGCTAACCAAAATGTCAGTGGTTTAGACCCACCAGCTGTACCACGGGAGAAAGATGAGGCAGTCTGCTTCCGTAAAGATTTACAGCCTTGGAAACCCTATGGGGCCATTCTACTCTGTTCTATAGGGTCTGTATAAGTCAGAATCAACTTGATGGCTATGAGTTTTAAAATTTATTTTTTATTTTTTTGTCTGACTCTGCACCTATGCTCCTAACTGCTACTATTCAATACCCCCTTGGTGGTCTCCCAGTGGTTCAGGACTCCCCAGGAATGTGAGCACTAAGAGGACAGGAGTGAGCACTGTCTGTCCTGTTCATTGCTGTGTCCCTGGCACCAGCACAGTGGACATAATAGTGGATATTAGTTTTCTAAAACCCAAAAACTAAACTCAAAGCTGTTGAGTCAATTCAACTCATAGTGACCCCTCCTTGGGTTTCAATGGGGTATCTCTACGGAAGTAGATTGTCCACTCTTCCTTCTGAGGAGTGGCAGGTGGGTTTGAACCGCCAGCCTTCTGGTTATCAGTCAAATACCTTAGGCACTATGCCACCAGATAAGATACCACAAAGTGGGTGGCTTCAAAAAGCTTCTGGATGGCACAGTTTGCACTGGTAGCATAGTGCCTAAGGCACTTGACTGCTAACCAGAAGGCTGG